ATTATTTAATCATAAAATCAAGCATAAACCCTAAAATGTTTAAATACTCAAATCTTAGAAAATATTTACATTTAAGAAAGCCTTAACACTCCAATGGATTAGAAATACATGACCTTGACGTTAGGATCCCGAAATAAAGCTCATTGGTTATCCACACTCTTTTCCTTTATGATTTGGATGAAAATCCCAACTTTTTCTTTTGCTAGAAAGAACCCAAGACTTGAATCATTAAAGCAACAATGTTGAAGAGAATAAAGATGAATTTGAATCATGAAAAAGGGCTCAAGAACTTACCTTTGAGTTATGGGACTTAGAGAAGAAGAATGAGATGAAATGAGAATTAATGAAAAAATGAAGAGAAAAATATGAAAATGAGTTATGAAAACCCTCATCTTTTCAAAATGGGAAAATTATGTTTTTGGTCCTTCCCCCTCTCACATCTATTCAAAAACCCTCTTTTTATGGCTAATTGGGCTCAAGTCCAACCCATTTAAGCCAAACTTATCCCAACTACTTAAATTATGAAATGCATAGGGTCCACTTACCACTCAGGTAAACCCAAAACTATTAGTCCAGAATTTGGGATGTTACAAAATGGTAGTCTTTGGATATGATTGATAGTTAGTAAAGCCTCCGGTGGAAATGATGGGTTACTCCCTTCAAACCAAAACAATATGTATTTTCTTGGATTTGAAACTCGAAACTTAAATCTTTTCACAGCAAGTATAGGATTGGTGTTTGCTTGAGAGCGAATCTGTCTCTATATATTGGCGATGACAAGGACATTTCATTCTAGGGGATGTTTGGTTGGATGGTATGGCCTTGAAATTTTGTTTCCCTCGTTTATATGTTTTGGTCGTGAACAGAGAAGGTATGATTGTTGATTTTGGTTCAAAAATTGAAGCGAGATGGTTTGGAACATTCCATTAAGAAGAGGGTTATTCATTAGAGAACAACAGTCCTGGAGTGAGTTCATGTCTAAGCTTAATAATTTCATACCGAGTGAGTTACAACATGCTTGGTTTCTCTGGTTGAGCTCTTGTGATGGTTCCTTTTCGGTTAAATATATACAGTGGCCCCCTTCCCTCAAATAATTTTTGGAAGAAATCTAGTTGATGAAGAGGGGAGTGCTGCTAAACTCAAATAATTTATGCCCTTGTGTAATAGCTTTCCAGAATCCATTGAACATAATTTCATCTCTTGATGCTTTAGTTGGAAATTATGGATGACATTCTGTAATTATTTGGGGATCCAGATGGTGATGCATAATGATCCGATGATTTTTTCTGGAAGCTTGGGGAGACCTCGGTGCTGCTTCTATAAGCAAGGTTTGGTTTTTCATCTCTTTCGCTCTAATTTGGACTGTGTGGCATTTTAGAAATAGTGTAGTATTCAATAATAAGAACATGGACTGGTTGTAATTAGTGTTTTTGGTTAAATCTCACCTACATCGTGGTTAAAGGCTAAATTTGATGATTGTCTTTTATCATGGGATAGTATTGTGAATGATCCCAGTTGGCCAAAAATTATTGTCTTATTCCTAAGTAGACCTGGCAAACTTAACCCGAACCCGATTACCTAAACTGAATTACCCAAACCGAGACCCGAAATAAACCCAAACTTGATTATCCAAATCTAACCTGAAACCCGAAAAAAATTGAATCAAACCGAACTGACCTGAATTTTACCTAAATTGAAAGTAACCCAAACCGAAAGTAAAACAAATAGAAAGCAACTCGAACCAAAAATAACTTGAGCTGAAAGTAACCTAATTTTAATTTATCCAAACTCGATTTGAATCGAATATTGACCCGATTTGAACCCGATAATCGAGTTAAAATGTATAAAAATACTAAAATAACTTGTTAAATTTGTTTTCAATTTATTAAATCAAATTATGAATTATTAATGAGTTAATTACATCATATGTCCCCAATCTATGACCCTCATTTCAAATTAGTCCCTAAGTTTTTAAACATTTCAATTTCATCCTTAAATTATAACTATTATTCTAGATTTTTCTCAAACTTTTTAACATTTCATTTTCATCCCCAAGCTATGATCTTCATTCTAAATTGGTCCCCAAACTTTTTGAATATTTCAATTTTATCCTAAATTATTCGTATATACTAATAACAACTCTTGTTCATAAATTCATTAGGCAAGTTATATTATTATATGTTTGAACAAAAAATAGGTTAAAACTATGGTTGAAATGGATTACATATTTGGATGAATTTGGGGATAAAATTGAAAGATCTAAAAGTTTAGGGACCAATTTAGAAAAAGATTCATAGTTTGGGGATGAAATTCAAATGTTCAAAAGTTTAAGGACTAATTTGAAATGAGAGTCATAGTTTAAGGACATGTGATTCAATTCATTATTAATTTAATATTTTACTTTTGAAATACTAAAATAACTTTCCAAAACTATTAAATTAATTTACAAATTATTTTAATTCTTTTTGTATATAAAAATATATTTATTTAAATTCAATATAAAAAATAACTTATTTTTATACTACACAAATAACTTATTTTTACAATATAAAGATATCTATTTTTATTTATAATTTAAAATTAAAATATTATCGATGATATAATAATATAATATCATTTATAAATATATTTAGAATAATATTTATTCAAACATAAATAGTATATTATTATTACTTTTAAGTTTTAATAAAAATATTATATTTATAATTCAACGTTAAGTATCTAGTTTAAAAAATTTAATAGATAATAAAATTTAAAATTTTGTTTTTCAATAATGTAGATTGTACCATAAACTTTTTAATCCGGATCAATACAAAAATATCACAAACTAACATATCTTATAGGTCGAGTTTGAATTAAATTATAATCCGTAAATGATAATTGAATTTGAATGAAATTGAACACAAACGATAAGATTTTTAAAAATACACTTTTTTTATAAAAATATATCAATAATTCTATATATATTTGATTTGACTTATACCCAACTCAAGTTGAATTGATTTGAAGATCCAAAGTTGACCTAAACCGATAATAATTGACCAGATATTGATTTGACCCGAAAATCAACGGATCTGATTTGATCCGACTTGAAAAATACCAATCTGATATTGACTCGACCTAATACCCGACTTACTATAGACACGAATAAACTCGAAACTGAAACGACCTAATCTGATCGGATTCAAACCCGACTTGACCTACTATTGATCCAAATAAAATCGAAACTCGAAATGACCTGATCCGATCCTAACCTGACCCCGAATGTAAACCGAAATGACTCGAACTAAAATGATCTGATCGGGTTAAAATCGAAACCCGAAATGACCTGATCCGATCCTAACCTGACCCCGAATGTAAACCGAAATGATTCGAACTAAAATGATCCGAACCGAACCCGATCTGAATGACCTGTGCCACCTCTATTCCTAAGTCAAATGTAGCCCTAGTCCCCTCCTTGTTGTTTTGTCAAGCTTAATATGGACGGGGCGGTTTCATCCCGTGGTTCCAAGTATGGCGTGGGAAGAGTTTTGAGAGATTCTGATGGAGTTATGTTTTTGCAGTTCGCGAAAACATGTGTTGTTTACCCTCCTACAATGGTTGAGTTGTATGTTGTCAAAAAAGGTCTGAAGGTATTCCTAATGTCTACAAATTTTAGGGAACATAAGTTTATTATAGAATCTGAGGGTAGATCTGTAGTGGACTGGATTAATCAAAGATTAGTCTCTCTTGCTAATTGTTCCAGCTTGGTCTCGGAATTACTCAATACCTTCAAGTTGTTTGATATTGTGGTCAGGTGGATCCCTCGTTGTTGTAACACAGTGGTAGACACACTAACTAAATCGGGAATTGGGTAATGAGAGGAGGGGGGTGGTCTTTTAGTTATTTTGTTTTAATTTGAAGTCGGTTGTTCCAAGTTTGGTTTTATGTTTTGCCTTGAGTTGTAGAGGCAGCTTTGGTTGTAAGCTACAGTATGATGTTTCCATTATATTATATGTGTACTAGGTTTAGAAAGGATTTTAACACACACACACATCAAATAATCTAGTGATAAAAAAATATTTTCATCCTAGAGATATTAACCTCAGAAATTCATGTAAATGATAAACTTTTATAACATATAAGAAATTGTTTATTATGCATAATGTGACAGTTTAGACACCATTAACAAGATAAATACAATCATTTCATATGTACCCTGTTTATGTTAATTTTTTTATACAAAAAAACTGTTAGTTTTATTAAAAATATTAAATATCCAAAATTACAATGAAATTTACAAGTATAACCTTAAACGTAAGCTACACTACAATTAGGACATTTTCTTATAACAATTGACACAAAACTAGTCACTTAGATCACACAAAGACCATAAAAGAAAAATGTTAAAAAACCTAACCAATGCTCGAACGAGATAAAGATACGAACAAATCTGACTGCATCGACAAACGAATCACAAAAGGGGATGAAGCTACTAAGGCCGCCGAAAAATCGCAAATCAGAGTCGGGGATGTGAGAAAACTATCCACGAACGCAAAACGCATATCCAAATCAATCTGAGAGTCCAAAGTAGGGAAGATCGTCATGATAAAAAAAAAATAAGAGTCGTTTTGATCAGTCGTGGAGATGTCGAATAAACGAAAACAACGACAAAAAATCATAAGGTACCAAAAGGCAGGAAAAAAAACGTGTCACAGAGGCAGACATAAACGTGCCATGAAGGCAAAGAACATGTCACAAAGACATGATTATTTTTATTAAAAAAATAAAAAAACATAAAAAAAATATAATTTATAGTACGATCGTTAGTTAAATAAAATTAAAAAAAAAGTTGAATTGATCAATAAAATTGACATAAATTGTAAAGAAAAAAAAAAGGAAGAGATGAAGAGGAAGAAAACTAATGTAGTTATAATATATTGCAAGTCCTTAGAAAGTAATAAAATAATAATATAATTAGAAAGTAATAAATAATTATACACATTTTTCAGACCAAGCCATCAAATTTCCATGCAAAATAAGAAAAAGAAATAACAATAATGAAGAATCAAATCCATCGCCTTAGTTTATTTCCAACTTTGATTCTGCATTAAGCGGTAATTTCCGTGGAATTATGAGCAGCGGGAGGAGATGGAGGCAATCTGGCAGAAAAGTTTCTGTAAGTGAACTCATCGTATTGGCTATCGTCCCGTCCTTCGTCAAAATTCAAAGCATAACTCGACGGATCATATCGAAAATCCGCCGAGCTTCGTCTAGTATGACCGAAACTGTGGTTGCGGAGGTGGTTGTTTCCAATGCGATTAACCAAATTTCGATACTTGTCTTTCAACTCCGGCGACTTGAGACACGCAGTCGATGAACAACTTTGCCTTGGGCTTTCGTGGTTGTTATCCTTAGGACTCGGAGAAAATTGCGAAAGAGGAATATTGGTCGAAGCACTTACCGTTGAGAGTTGGTGGTGGTGGTGGTGGCGGCGGCGGCGGCGGAGCCATAGAAGACGAAGGGAGGATTTCAGTTTCTGTTTTAGAGAAATCGGTTCGTTTTGCTCATTGTTTAACCCTTTTTTTCTCGCCTTCATTTTATTTTTAGAACCGAGAAGAAGGTGTTCATATAAAGTGGGGAATGGACGCGAATGATAGGGAAACGGGAGAGGCCCAACCTGAACTTCCGAGATCCAAGAGATGGGTGTTTTGGGGTTTTATTTAAAAAAAAAAATAAAATCAGTGGAACGTAGTGATTTTACCATTTTTTGTGATTTTGCAAATTCGTTGGGCCTGGATTTATGCTCCTATTTTAATTTTATTTTTTAATTTGCACTAGTAAAACAAGAATTAGGAATTCTCTTTTTCATGAAAATTTAAATATCAGTTGTATCTTACGAACTAATTTATCTCAGTGGTTAAAGGAATTGTTGTTGTTCCTAGAGGTTACGGGTTCGAGCACCAGCGACTACAACAAGGTGATTGAACGTTTATTGTCAAATGGTCAAGTGATCATTTTGTAACTTTTCATAGTCGAGGGACTCAACAAAACAACTCTCTAGACCCTTACACCAGTTGGGTTTCGCTGTAGTATACGGTTATACGGCTACCTCCTTTGTAATATATTCCGATTCTTCGTAGTATTTATTTTCTGTTTGTGACCGAGAAAGTTGTAAAAAGGGAAGAAAGAGTACAGTGAACTATAAATAGTAAAATCTTAGTCAAGCTTTTATTCTCCATACGAAAATTAAAAAAAAAAGCTTTCATAATAAAATTTTAGTTTTTTCTTGGTAAGAATTTCCCAATGGAATTTTAGTTTTTTTTTTTAAATAAGAATTTCCTTTTGCCAGGTATGAGAAGCGCCGCTCTAACATCCCGGCACACATTTCTCCATGCTTCCGTGTGAAAGAAGGGTATCACGTCATTATCGGGCAATGCAGGTAAAACATATACGGAGAATAACTTTTTTCTCTCTCTCTTTGAATCTAATCTTATTCTGTTTGGCGGAGGCTATTTCGGTTGTTTGTGATTTGTGTGCATCGTTATCTGATTTCAGGCCGTTGTCCAAGACTTTGAGGTTCAATGTTTTGAAAGTGATTCCCGTCGATCTAAGTTCTTCAAAATTTGTACTTTATTTAGAAATCAAATTTTATTTCTGGATAGTTTAAAAAAAAATAAAAAATTTTGATGTCACAGTAAAAAGAATTCAAACTATATGTCAAATGATAATAAAATTATTTAAACCAAAGTTGAAGATTCAAACTTGGAGATGAAGTGAAGTAGGAATAGAGAAAAGTAATGCCCAGTTCAAATTCCCTATATCAATTATGAAAGTCTCACTTGTCATTTGCAATAATGGGAAAAAGGGGATATACCGCATTTAACATAAAAAGTCCTGCCGCCGTTCATGAGCGCTCATCAAATCGGTACTCACGAATTTCATAAACACCGGAAGATTCCTTCTATCCGGTCCATCTCTCCGTTCGTTACTCTGTCTGCAACAAGAAGCCGTTTAATTGGTATTCGATCAACAAAATAATAAACATCTGGTATTGCACTAGAATGTCTTTCGACTCAGCGGTACATTGAACATGCAGTTCAACTCACTTTTCAGATTCGACAGAATTTTACACCATCATTGCTTAATACCATGACTAAAGACTAAGAGCTCGAGTTGGCAAAGCTTCTTTATGCACTGATGTGCAACTACATACAGAAATTCATGGCTGACAATCCATATAATCAAGAGAACATTGTTGATTGAATTACTACGTGGACTGATCTAGAAGGTTTATATATAAATTTTAAACGAGGCATAGGAGAAAGTTGATCGGAATATGATTAGAGGCAAAAGATGTAGATGAGATAATAGGAAAGTATTTGGAATTAGTACCTTCTGACGTTTTGAGTTTGGTGGGTTTGGTTCAGAGTCGCTAGGCCTACGTGAATTCCCAGACCTGGAGCTCCCAGCCTGCAAATTTAGCAGTGTTTAGCAAACCAACAATTTATGGTTCAGACCCGATGCATGTAAAGCCACGGCACTTTGTTTACCTGGGTTGATGTATTTGCTTCTTCTGTAGACACAGCACTTTGTTGTGACCCCGCATGCTGAGATATGTATGGCATGATCTGATGAAGGAGGTTAGATAAAAACACCCCTTCATCAGTAGCATTTTGCTCAGCTGCTACATTACCACTGGATGTTCCGGCTTGCTCCATGATAGTATCAGTTGCTGTTCCTTGTAAACTGGCTTCCTCTACCTGGATTTCACTACCCGGGAAAATTCCCCTCAAAAACTGAAGAATGCTACTAGGAATTTGTCTCTCAGCCTCTTGGTTGTTTTGATTCCTGTTGCCACTGCGTGTATTCGCTCGATCCTGTTGTCTTGAATTAGCATTTGGCAATGAGCCTACAATGAGAAGCAATTTAACAGTCAATTCCTGAAAGGAACCTCTCCTCGTCAACTTTCACAAGAGGCGGGATCCACATATTACCGTCTCTTGCAGACTCTTGTGAACTTTGATTTTGCACCGCAGATTCAGGAATAGCAGGCTGCTCAGATTGAGCACCAGGGTGCAGATGCTCACGAGATGCTTGAGATCCCCGTTCACCACTCAAATGTCCGGGAGAGAGATGCGGGAACCTTCCAAGCAATGGGTAGTATAATCCCATAGAGCTACCAGAAGAATCCGAAGGTACACGACCCAAAGGAGCAGGTACAGCTGCAACCATAGTCCTAATAGGCACTACCCTAACTCCTGATTCTCCAGCAAAAGATGGAGCATCTGAGACCCTTGATGTTGTTTGAGTGCTATGATTCTCACTGCCGGAACCCATCGACGGGTTCCTTTGGCCCAGTTGTTGTGTGGTATCATGATGGTCTTGTTGAACAATATTGGGCGTGGAGGTCGTTGAACCTTGCGATAAATACACCATCAGTCTCCGGCTAGAAAATACAGTTGATATATGAAAAAACATATATAGAAAAAGAACTGGTATACCATACCTCTTCGTATTTGTATATCAATACGCCTAGGAAGAAACCCTGTCCCAAGTCCATTAATCCCACCAGAACCAGGCTGCACAGTTCCCATGGGGACGGTACTTAAGCTAGTTCCCGGTTGAAAAGGAAGAGCCTAAACAAGTATTAATAAATCAGCATGAATTAAAAATAATTTACATCAAATAAGAAGGTTCGGATAAGCTGTTGAAACATTGCCTGAACCATGAGAGGGATTGGACCAGTAGGGGTTATGAAAACTGCAGGTCCAGCATTAACAACGGCTTCAGACTGCAAAAGAAATAAGTTACAGCAAAATACAGCACAAATAATATAAAAGGGAGTTGAATGCAGTGGATTTAGAACGAAAATAACTTACAGGTGTTTGACCTAAGCGTAGCGTCATGGTTGCACGACCGAGCTCAAGTAAAAGTGAGCCTAGGCTTTGTAGCAGAATTCCGGTTCTCCATGCATTAGACTGTGCATTCGTTCGCGCTGAGGTGTCAGTCACATTTGCTTGATCCTCCAGTTGCCTAGCAAGTTGCTGACAATAGGCATCACAAAACAAAAATTAACTCAAAAAAAAAAGGAATCTACAAGCCGGGGACAAATAACAGCCCCTTCCTCGCTCTTCCCCTATCAGGCCAACTATTTACACCTCAATGAGCAAAGAAAGCTGTTAGATATACAGGTAAACTAGAGAAAAGAGAGTGAAAAAGTAGTTAAGGGACACACTTGTATACATTCTCCAGCTTGATCAACGAGCATTTGCCTGGTCGATTGTAACACTTCGGCCAAAGATGCAGGTGTTGGAAGACCTTCCCTTATAGTCCCTGAATTTGATGCAGGAATAGTATCTCTATCTCCACTCATACTCACAGGAGTTGTCTGAGGATCATTTCCCCCAGCTCTAACTGGCGCAGTCAAATGAGTTGCAAATCATCAAATTCATGCTTTATATGACAGAGATAATAAAAATATATTCTTTTTAGAAAGGAAAACTAACCAATGCCATCAAGTTCATGCTTTAAATGGCTAAGATATTGAGACAAAGTAGCCAAAGCATCAGGAATTACCTACAGAAATGAAGAATTAATAAGTGTATAATAACTTGGGCCACAAATAGGTGTGCCATAAGATATCTTTCGTACAAAAAATCCACTTCACACATTCAAAGAGAAAAATAAATTATTTAAAAAAAATAAGGAATTCCAAACCGACAGGAGGTTGCATAGGCCCCAAGGAAACTGCTGCCGGAAGTCCAAAAGCATTATGTGCTCTATCAGATTGATTCCTCATGGTAGCTTGTTCAGTTTGACCCTGGGATGGTTCCGGTATGCCACTACCAGAAGAAGTTCTTTCATGTCTTTGTGAACCGAATTCCTTGGGTATTCAAAGACTCCAAAGCAGTTAGTTCATATGAATTTAGGCACACATAAAGATGAACACTGATAGTAAAACATATAGAAACATTTAGAATTTAGAAAAGCAAAAGCCAAACTTTTTTCTAACAGACTGTCAACATTACATCCTGCTGGCCCTAAAAGGACCTCTGGAAACTAGAATTTTGGGTTTTTGACTCTAGTCAACCACTTTCTCAAGTTATTTATTTCATGCCAATGCAGTTTAATATACTTTAAACTAACAAAATCTCATCCATTAAATGACTATCATATAAAAATTTAAAACTTACCCTGACATCTCCCCCAACGCTGCTTCCCATATTTGCAAATCCCATTGAGCTAAGAACGGCTTGGACAATCCGCTGGAAGGAAAGAATACAATTAAAACCAAAAATATATTCTGAAGATAAATACTTTCCCTACTCTAGAAATGTTCTCCATTTCTCACCCGGTTTAAAACTTACCCGACCAATTTCAGGAGAAACTCCATCACCTTGATCAGACAAATTAAAAGTTTCTATTACAACATTTGGGACATGATTACCATGATTGCGGCTTGTACCTGACCCAGGATCATCTGCATCAAATAATAGTGCTAAATGTTAATAACTAAATCTAAAGAAGCTTTTTCCTCCCATTTCAGAAACATGAGCAATGCACAATAAATTAATACTAAAAACACATATTATCAAAAAGTATATGTATTACAAACCAATCACAGTTCGCACTGGTAAAAGGGATATAGCATAAAAGAAAGAATGCTAATGCAAAAGGTTCTTGGACAACTCAAATAATCGGTCAACATCAGCTACCACATTTTGATCTCTAAACAGCTTTACAGTTAGAATTCGACTCATCATATAAGGACATTCTCATGCCCTTGAAAAGATAAACATAAAAATACCTTCGTCTAATCCCAATGCTTATGACCAAAACATCTGAAAGTTAGAACCAATAATTTTCTTCTACCCATGTTACTACCACACCACTGTCTCTACTACAAAGGCAGCATTTTCAACAAAGTTTATGGACTTATTGACCAATATTTCACATATTGCCCAAGTAGTAACCAGCATGCCATAACTTCGATCATGATGGATGGTGCGTTATTGGAAATTGCCAGACATAAAGAGCATAACTAAGCAAGTTGCATAATCATTCAGTCATGACTCTCATATATACATACTTCATTGACTTTGCCCGTCTGAACCAGAATGCTATACATTCAGATATGAAAGATGTTACATGATTAGAAAATATGCAAGAAAAAGAGATTTTCCCACTATATTCCATGGTTAGCACTTTTTTATTGCACCATCAGATGTAATTGCTACTTGGGTGTAATTGTTAGATACAAGTATGTATCAAACACAAGTCTGAAGAATTGGAAATGAGTGTTGGACATGCGTAGTTCAAGAAATATGAAGAGTTGGAGCAACATATTCAGGTCTCATTTTCCTTGTGAGGCCATGTACTCATCAGGTCAAGGTTAAAATGTCAAATGATCCAGTGGAAGTTTCTGTAGCTACTAGCATTAAACTAACTATAAGAAAAGTAAAATTGGCAGTGGGTGGAAGGAGGCATACTTATTGCAAAACCACATATTATGCCTAACAGTTAATAGCAAAAAAAAACATAGACAAAATTTTGTTCCAAGCATGTATGTGGCGAACACTAAAGAAAATCTTGCTTTCTGTAAGGCATTGCATGCTGGAATAACACTTCATACATGTCAATCAAATTAGCTAGCAAAGGAAAAAGACTTTTCCTTTTAATAAAACTGGGGCATCGAGCACATGCATATATTTATGTGTGTGTGAGTGAAAGGCATATGCTCATGCTATGTTTGTGCCCAAATAAAAATGATGATACTGGATACTCAAGTGTAACAAAACCTGAAAGATGAGGTGAGCCATTAGATGATGGTGGAACCGGCTGCCTGACCACCAGGTGCAAGGTGTGACCATCCTCGACATCTACCTCCAATTAAGAAACTCAAATTCTA